AAAATACTACGACATGAACTCAATAATGATCACGTAAACTTCAGAAAAAATAAAATAAAAAGTAAAAAACCAAAATTGACATGTGAAAAGAAATAAAGGAAAACCGAGAAATCCAGTGTTTGGAGTGGAAATTATCGCAGGAGTAACAGCGAGTGAAGATGGGGATTTGTTAATGGAAAAGCAAACGGAGCATAAAGAGGGTTTTGCTTACAACGCGTTCGACGTTAGCGAAAATGGCATCGCCGGTTCGAGGAGCGACAGGAGCCATGGAGGGTGTTCACTGTTGAGTCTCTGCTTTGCTTTGGTGCGATCTGCGCAGTGATAGCGAGTGAAGCAACGATGCGACTTTGGATCAAAGCCAACAACGGGTCCACTGGGCTTTGCCTTTCGTCTTGGGCTGACCTTAACAAGCAAGGGATGAGGATCAAAATTCACTTCATATAAATAATCATATTCATATGTTTTAAAATGATTTTTGGTAACATAAGCATAAATTAATCATTAATTATCATAATATTATCATTTAATATAGATTAATACTTAATCGTCAACTCTAGAACACTGTGTGAAATGTCTATGAACTAAAAATATATTCATGTGAGTTTTAGGGAGAAAAAGGAAAGTATTTGTAAATATTTATTGATATTTATGGAAAAGTATATTTGAAGAAAAAAAATAACACGACATTAAAAATAAAAAATTTTGGAATAAATATTCTATTAAAAACAAATTAGAGAAAATTATTTGTATATTTGTTAATTATAATATTAGTATAAAATATTCATTTATTTTATTAATGAATAATTTTTACTAGATAATGTTGTTGGTTATCTATAGTGAAATATCTTCTCCTAATCAAACTTTTTCAACTACAAAATTTAAATTTAATATATTGTTTAAGAGATTCGAACTTAGTGTCATTCAGACCAATAACTTGTTATTACTTATTTATATGCATTAGGGGGCATATATTTGTTTTAAAATAAAAATAAATAAGAGTGATGATGAAAGTTAAATACAAAATGAGAGTGTACGATTAGAAGGCATTTGTTGCAAGAATAAAGAGTTGGTTTGGATTATGTTTAGTTAAAGTTTTACAAAACTTGATCAAAATTCTATGGAATGAGTTAGGTTGAGTTTATGCAATTTTTTATCTAACTCAAAATTGAACTAACACATCTTAGATATGTGAATCTACATGTAATATAATATTGCGTATTATATGTTATCTATAAAATTTTGTTTTGTCCTTATTAAAGTGAATTAGTATGTTTAGTAAAATTAGTTAATAAGTTTCTTGAAAACTTATGACCTAATTGATAGTTTATAAATTATAAGTCATAAGTAGGAATATTTGTGATACAATTTGGTTCAATTTTTAGCATAAAAGTTATCGAACCAAACAAGAAAATTAAATGCAGTTCAATTTAAAGGTATTATAAAATTTGAACCAAACAAAACCAATTTTTGGTAGTTTGGTTTGGTTTTTAGATTTTAAAAACATGTTATTTCAAAATTAGCTAAAATATATAATATTTTGTTTTTTTAAAGACTCGTATGTCAAAAATAAAATTAAAGATATATAAATACAAAAAAAATTCAATCACTTAGTACTAATTATTATCTTATTATTTTAGTAAAAATATTTTTTTAAAACAATTTTAGTTATCATATTAAATATTTTTTGTTACATATATAATTTATCACTTAAAATTAAATTATATTTGAACATTATAAATAATTTATAATTATTCATTATAAAATTCAATCTAATAACTTATAATCTTATAAAATACCTTTTAAATCAAATATATTATAACGTGCATTTGAGAAGAAAAAATAAATTAGTAACTTACAATTTTATATAATACTTTTAATATTATAATATGTATTTAATATATATATATATATATATATTTCAATTTAATTTGGATCAATTTCACATTTTAAACTACAAACCGAAATGAATCACATGGTTTGAAAAAGAAAAAAAAAACTAAATCACTAGTTTGTAGTTTTCCGACTTTCAGATTTTTGTGTTGGTTTTCAGTTTTCTATTTACATTAGTTTAGTTTTGAACATTCATGACTATAAGAAAGGAGTTTAAAATTAAAAGTTAGAAACTTAATTATAAGTTAGTTAATTGATTTGAAAGTATTTAGTAAAATTAATTGATAAATTAATTAATTAATATAAAATAATATTTATTTATTTGATAATGAAAATAAGAGAATAATATGTAAGTAAAATAATTTATTTAAAAAAGATGAAGAGAGATTTTAAGTAAATTAATGAGATAAAAAAATGAAAGACAAAAAAATAAGAGTTTATAAATTATAAATTACTTCAATTAATTTATAAAATTAAATTATAAATTCTGATAATAAGTTATCTTATCAAACAAACTTATTTTTTTAATAAAAAATTATAAATTTTTCAAATATCATGTTAACCACTTTTTATAAATATTAATTTATTAGGATTTATCCCCTTCAATGCTAATGAAAGGAAAAAAAAAAGAATTTACCATACTAAAGTCGTAGAATATATATAATTTTTTTTATGAGTGAATACGTATAATATTAGTCCGAATGAATGTTTAATAAATTCACAATATAATTCATCAATCATTTTAAAATATAATTTATTAATAATTATAAAAATATTAATTGAAAAGGAAAAATAAATTTCAATTTTAATTTTAAAATTAAGTATCTTATATTAATTATAACTTTATTAGTGAATGAAAAGTTATCTATTATACATTTGAGATTAGAGTTTTTATCCTTAAGAAATTAGAAGGTGCACACTTAAACAAATATAAGATATAGGAATTGTGTTTTAAAAAAAATGTTGAAAGAACTAATTGATTATCAAGGTATGAAGTGATTGATAAATAATCTTATCTCTTAAGTATATGATTAAGGATGATCATTTGTTAGTATGAATGAAAAAATATTTGTTAAAAAGTATCAATCTATTAAATAGATCTTAATACCTCAAGGGATTAGTTTAATCCTTAGCTTTCGGTTAGGAGATACTTTGATTTACTAAAAAATAGTTTATTGATTTTGTTGATGACTACTAAAAAACTTGACAAATAATATTTAGTGGGGTCTCCTTGCAACCAATTTTCATTCATTCACAAATCACAATACTTGAACCAAGACTTTAATAGTGTGTTTGGATAAGGAATTTATCTAAAGTAATTCATTTATTTGAAAAATTTTAAATTTCTTGAGGTGAAATGCTTTGTTTGGATGAGGAATTTACAAAGAATTTGAAATCCAAATATTTGTAAAATTTCTTAAAATAGTAGAATTTCAAATTCTCCCAAAAATATGAGAATTTGAAATTCCTCATATTTATTTTTCTTATTTCATCTATATATTTTATCTTATCTCTTCATTCTTTTTAATTATTGGATATTCAAAAATATTTTCAAAATTATTAAATATTAACTAATATTATTTTTTAAAATTATTAAATATTATCTAATATTAATTTTTAAAATTATTAAATATTTAAAAATGGATTAATATTTATTTTTATAAAATTTTATTTAAAAATCTCAACATATAAATATATTTTTAAAATTAATTTTACTATGGTGGAATCGAATTATCATATTCAACTTAACAATTTAAAATTTAAGAAATTTGAATTGACTCATCCAAACAAAATATTTTAAGAATGATAGAAATTAAAATCAAAGTAATTCAAATACCAAGAATTTAAAATTCCTTGAATTTGTAAAATTCCTCATCCAAACACACTATAAGTGTATTTGGTAAGATATTTGAAGAACTTATAAACTTTTTAAACTGCTTTTAGAAGTTTATAGCTTATTTTTATATATTAATTGAAGTAATTTTGCTTAAAGGGACTAAGTTCAATCCCTTGAAACCAACAACTTATTACTCTACTAAATAACTTAGTGTATGTATTAAATTTCAATGATTTAATTGTTAGATTAAAATTTCTTATTGCAAAAAATCAAGTTTACAAGGTTTTTCAAAATTTGTAAGTTATTTAAGACTTTGTTGCATAAATTCAATTTGACATATATTCATAAAAATATATTGTATGAATAAAGAAATCACATCATAACTAAAACTATATTTTAACCTTTTAACATAAGAAAATGATAGATAGATAATAAGTTTTGATTCTCTAAAGGTCATACAAATGTTTCTCACTTAGTGCTCCTAATATGAACTGAAGGTTGTGCATCATAAACAATACATATAAGCAAAGTATATGCAATTATAATCATTTATAAACAACATTGATATCATGTTATGTAATGTTCTCAACTAAAGTCTAATACATCACTACAAGAAATTCATTAAATAAAAATTGATTTAGAGACTAAATTTATATAGTCACTTTAGCAACTTATTTAAATACTATTTTAGATATCGATTATAGTTGGTCTCTAATTCAATCTCCATTATCATTAATATTTTTAATGTAATCAGAGACCAAACTTTTAGTAACTAATAGTTTAAAAATTATTATTTATTTGATTAGATACAACTTTTTTAGTCTCTAATTAAAATCTAATCTGAGACAAAATTATTGGTCACTATTAAAACACTTTAGAAACCAATATTTTAGCCTCAAGATGCACCACAATTAGAGACTAAATTTTATAGTTTCTATTTTAAATATTACTAGAGATTGATTTGTTTTGTCACTATTGACTCAATTTAGATACCATTTTTTCAGTATCTAATTGGTTTTTTTGTTAGAAACCAATGTATCAGTCTCTAATAAAAATATAATAAAAAACTAATATTTCAATTTATTAAATTATTTTAGACACAAAAATATTTGGTCTCTAATTAAAATACACTAATAAATAATAATTGATTTTTTAGTCATTATTAATTCATTTTAATTTTTTTTAGTATCTAATTGTGTTATATTCACTACAAAAAAAAATAGGTAATTAGTAGGGATTTTTCTCTCTCAAACTTATTTCTCTTGCAGCAAAATGAAGCGGTTTCAACACTTTTCCTTTTCGATTTCTCGATGCTAATTTTTTTCTCTCCTTGAACAAAGAGTTTCTCCAATGCGAACGTTCAGGGAGAAGGACAAGAAAAGATCGTAAACGAGGCGCAATCGCCGTCAGAGGTGCATGCGCGTGGTGTTCTTGGTTTGTGGATTTAATTTTGTGATTTTTGCATGAACTATGCTAACGATCGAAAGAGAGTGAAATTGAGAAACATACCTTTGTTTTTGTGTTGAGAAGGTGAAACCAGAGGAAACGGAGGCGGCGTCGGAATCGGAATATGTTGGAGGCGAATGCCAAGTTCTGCAGAGTCTAGGTTCAACTTGTTCACAAACTCATACTACACACACAAAATCAGATAGTTAGTTAAGCTTTATGGAATTTTCTATACATAATTTCTCATTATGTTTTTTCTTTTTTAATTTATGTGAATTTCACATTGCAAATTGTACTTCTTTTTTATTATTGTTGCATTTTTTAGAAAGAAAATGGCTCACAGTGTTTTGTTATTGCTCTATAATAGAAAAATATGTATATGATTTCAACTGAAATGGGGTGGGAAATTAGAATTAAAGTTCCTCCAAGCTTCACTATATATAGATCAATTTGATTTTGTCCCAAAATTTCGTTTGGTTGCATTGTGGAGAGAAAAATATATAAAAATTGGGAAGCCATAAATAGTTATGGTGTTATTGAAAAAAAAAGAAAAAAACTAATTGTTAAGAGTTTCTTCAAACAGTGAACCTGTGCTTTCTCCCTGCTTTAGATCCAAAGTACTTCTGCGTGGAGGAGTGTCTTGGAGTTATAAATCAAAATCCATTCTTGACCGTCTACTGTAGCTATTTTTGACGAAATAAAAAAAAACTATATCTCAAGTTATATTAAATAAATATTACTTGAATTCTTAACTGAGTTTGTACTAAAGTAATAAGTATGGTGAGCAAATATTTGTTCTCTATAAAATTGCTTCAATTTTCTGTTGAATTTGAAAATTTTGTTCGGTTCAGGGACATACAAAGGGTCATATGGCGCTGCTTCATGTAAATACTTCTGCACGAATCTTACTTCGTTGAATTTGAGCTATGCTGATGTCAATGCGCTTCAGCTAAAATCAATTATTCGACACTGTCATAAGCTGCAAATATTGTGGGTATGTATTGTGCCATTATGTGTTTTGATTGCATTCTTGTGGATTTGAATTTAGATTTGGGGCAGATTTGGAGTTGATGTCTAGGCTTACATTTTTGTGTCTCTGTATGTGTGTTTAATGTCAATACTGAATATATAATATTTTCTCATATTTTGATTGAAGGATGTGGTTTTGCTAAATACTCTCAGAGAGATATGGCTCTGGAAGCTATTAATGGACTTAATGAACCTATACAATGAGAGTAAGAATTTTTTTTTGTATTTTTGTTGATCCTGATTTTTTACTCCAACAATTTCTTCTTTCTTGTCACTTATATACTTATATACTGCATTAACTACTCCAAGTCAACAAGTTCCTCTCTTTGTGCAGCAACAACCACTTTAACCTCTTCAGCAATCCCATTCATTAGCTCAGATGTGAAGTTACTTTACTAATAATTTTACAAATATTTATTTTAGTCTCTTTGACCCACCTGCAACAACAAATTAGACAAGTTATGCATATGTGAAGTTTTCACTAATATAGACTCTTATAATACTAATAAGTGACTTTTTTTGCATGACAAATTTAGTAGATGGTAAATCGCAACTATGGTAATTCTTTAAATTAAAACTCCAAATGATATGTCCTTATTTTGAAGAAAGGTACCTCTCAATCTCTAGATATATATAAAAAAGGAAGAGATGATAAAATAAGAATGAAAACTAGAGTCATTACTTGCTTCTCTTTTTAGAGGTGATAAACTACAATTTCGGGATTTTGTTATTGGTACAGGCGTACAACAATAAAGTAGAGTCAACAAGTCCAATGATGATGTAACTATCTCTTCCTTAAACATTGTCAGTAACTTCCTTAGAGCATCTCCAATTGGGGTTGCTTATAAGCAATTCCCATTGCAGATGCTCTTACAAAATTTGGGCAGGTGATGTATTTCTAAGCTATTACTATTACTTTTTTGCTTAGTTTTACCTTTTATTTTATTTTAATGGATCTAAATATACTTGACATGCAGAGTGCTTTGGCTGATGCAAGAGACCATGTTTGGGAGATGACTGAAAAGGAAATCAACATCTTCCTCTAGAAGACATTATATTCTGCAATAAATTCTTGTTATAAATTAGAACATTTTTTTTTAAATTTTGCATATATTTGTTGTTGAAAGTGTTCTAAATTTTTGTGTTTTTCTTAAGTTGTTCTTATCTTTCGGAGAAAGAAAGACAGAAAGACATCCGGTTGATTGATGTTCACTAGAAGTGTTAAAAGATAATTTGTTATTATATTAAAACTAGGTATTATCAAATGAATTTTTATTGAAAGTGATTGTTTGAGTATTATAAATACAAACAGTTAAGATTGTATGTTTGGAGGATATTATGTGCAATTTTAAAAAATTAAAAATTTTATTTATTTAATTTTCATGTTAGTATATAGCGAATGTTAATTTTTTGCATAATAGTTTAACATAGAATAAACATGTGAAGTAAATAATAAATAATTATTTTGTTTTAGTAGAAAAATAATTGAAGTTAGGTATGTGGTGAATTTGAATAAAGAAGATAATAAATATGAAAGAAATACTTTCTTTTTTTATTATATCAGTCACTTTGATGCATATAAAAATTTTTCACTAATTCAATTAGTTTAAAATTTGGTCACTAAAATGGTCACTTTAAAATTGGTTATTATAACAGTCACTAAATTGATTATTACAAAATAAGTTGCTAAGTTTGTTGTTATAAAATAGGTTACTAAATTAGTTGTTATCAAAATTGGTATCTAAATTGGTTACTATAATATTGGTAATTAAAATAATCAGTATAAAATTGGTCAATGAGATGATCATTAAAAATTGGTCAATAAGTTGGTCATTGTAAAATAAGTTACTAAGTTGGTCATTATAAAATTAGTCACAAAATTAGTCATAAAAAAATTGGTCATTAAATTAGTTTTTAAATCAGACTCTAGATTGGTAGCTAAAATTAGCAACCAGTGATTTAGCTACTTTCTACAATTGGTATCTAATTCAGTCACTTATTGATTTAGTAACTGATGTTGTTAATTTGGAGACTGAAAATTTAGTCTCTAAAGACAAGTTTTCTTGTAGTGCATTTATGCATGTGATACCAAGTTTAAAATATTAATCGCTCGAAAACTCATAAAGTAACAAAGTTTTGAATAATCAAATCACTAAGGGGCCTCCTTAGTGTAAGATTCATAACATGTACCTTTTTCAAAAATCTAAGTTCAAATGCTTATGATGCATGTGCATATCATAATGCTCAACAATTCAATTCTCAATCACTCTTAATTTTCACAAGTTCTTACATTCTCATGACACTTCGTGTCATCAACTTCTCATGTTGGATCCTATTCTACTAGAATAGGTCACCTCAAAGCTTAAAGTCTCGTGGTAGATCCCATTCCAAAAGGAATGATTGCTTTCATGTTGCACCTCAAGTGCCTTAAAGTTTTCAAGTGTTTAATTATTCTAAATTAAGTATATAAAAAGTTCAAGTTTGTCATTAAGTCCCAAAATCATTGTTTACTATTCAAGGTGTTGTACTTAACATGAACTCACACTTGACATGAAGGAGGTTTCCATTAGCATCAAAGTTATAGGAACTTTCAGGGGTTATGGAGCTCAACAAAACTCATTCTTGATTAGCGTTCAAACTTCATACATTTTTTTTATTTCAAATAATGCTTAGCACGACCAAGTGTGCTTAGCATCCAAAAGGTAATTATTCTTTGTGACTCTAACACTTGGCATGGAGACATCCATTCTCAGCACTAAAAGAACATAAACAATCCCTATTCCTTTAGTAATTTTGTGTTTAGCATGGAAACACCCATGCTTAGCTTGGACTTGCACAAAACCTATATTTAGGGTTCACATTCCCCTCACACTCTTAACCCTTTTAGTCCAATTCTTCTTAGTTTAATAGGTTATTCAATGACGAAGGAACTAACAAAAACATTGAATTAACATCATCAATTGCAAATTATGCATATAATCCTTCACAATTCAATAACCAACTCAATTTCAAGGAAACCTAAATTTACATGTCACATGACAAAATATCCAAAGCAAAATTAAGCATACAAAACAAAGAGAAAATTCATACAAGAGTCTTAGGATATCCATAACTAAGCTAAAAAAACATGCCATAAAATTATTAAAACACATAGAGTTGGGTCAACTCCACTACTCACATTTTAATTCACACCTTGGGTGAGATAACTCACTTTCTCCTTATTAAAAAAATTTTCCTTTAAAACAAAGGTGAAATAATGACAATCCTCAAGTTTATTTTTCTTCTGATGATGGTTATATAACACCAAGGTTCCACGAGACAAGCAACAACAAAGAATTATAAATAAAGTTGAGTTGTCTTAATAGTTTTTTTCTTATAAATGAATTGAGTTGAGTTGAATCAAATTAACACTTTTGTTTAGTTAAAACACATTAGTCCACCTTATTTTCAAAACCTCCTTTTCATGCCACTAACTAGAAAATACATCTATAACTTATAACAATGTATACAAATGTATAAAGGAGATACACTCTTTTAGTGTCCACTTTTAGAAATTCAATTAAACTCCCTATTTTATATTCTAATTTTTTTATCTACTAATGCATATGTCAAGGATGAAATAAGAAAAGGCATGTATAAAAAAATTGTTCATCTATTTTATTTTTACTAAAAAAAATTGCTCACTCATTTAAAAAACAACTATCCATTTCTTTTAGGAAACATAACATGTTTTTATCTTTACTAATTATTATTAAATTAAAAACTTTAAAATAAAATATTTATTAAATAATAAATAAACAATATATTTTGAAAATTTTGTGTTTATAAATTTACTAGAATTTTTTATTGAGTCTCTTGTTATAGTTAGTTAAAATAAAGTAAGATAAATATGTACAAGCATTTTATCTCTCTATTAATTAATTAAGTCATTTTTTATGGAACATAATTTTGTAGATTAAATTATATTTATTGTCCCTTTACTTTTATCTATCTATAATTTCATTTCCTCTATTTTAAAATATAAAATGATGGAATAATTATTAATTATCTTATCATTTCATTAACCTCCAAACAAGTTTTATAATTTATAATATATATTTATATTTATGTACAAAACAAATTAAGCCTTGCACGGATGTATCACGTGCACCTTGCGATTTCCTTATTAAATTTATCTTCTTCCAAACATAGCCACATCTCACCGAGTTGCTGAGAGAGAAAGCCATCAAGGTTCCACTTCGGCCTTATCCAATTTAGGGTTTCGGTTTTTTACCTTAAATTTGACGTATCGGAGCCCTAAATTTAGGATCAGGTAATTTCAGATCATCCTTTTTAAGATTTTATTCCTCTTCCTCTCTAAATTTAGGGTTTTTATCACCAATGACCTATAAGTTGACTCAATCTTTTCTCCCGAGTTTTGTTTTTCTTGATAACTTTACATTTTTTGGGAGTTTTCATATAATCTCGATCAGATCTTTAAGGTCGGAATCGTGTTTTTTTTTTTATTTATAAATTTTATTTTAATTGAAAGGTGTTTTTTTTTTAATTCGTTTTTTCAATTTATTTTTTTTACTGTGATTTTTTAGGTATGAGATTTTCTTTTGAGAATTTTTTGACGGTGTGGTTTCTAGATTGCCTTCATGTATGAACGATATCATTTTTTTTTTGTCAAGCTTTGTAATCTAGGAAATCATTTTGTCTTGTGCTATTAAGATCTTTTGAATTTATCTCAAATTAATGTTTTAAATTGTGGGGAAGTTTAAACTAACGGTGGATTTGTTTAGTCACTGTCCTGTTTTATTCCTTTAGTCGTATTGATTTTAGTGTTTTAAATCGAAACAGAGCTAAGCAAGTTTTTGATATACTGGGTTGGATGGTCATTTTTTATATTTTCTGTCGTTTGGTTTGTGGAAGATTATTTTGATGTGATGAAGATGAGATGATCAATGTCAGGTTTTGCTTTTGATTTCTTATAAAACGTGTTATCATGATAATTCAATTCAGCTAACTTGTTGATTGTGATGTCAGGTCTGAGCAATCTGGTTGGTACAACCTTTGGTCTTGGAGAGTCAACTTTTATGTCTGAATTAGACGCTCAGATTCCTACTGCCTTCGGTATGTTGTGACTTCTTGACATTTTGTCTGGACTAAATGTCTTCATGATATGTGATCTTTCTCACGGGAATAAATATCATTTGCTTATATATATATATATATATATATATTTGATTAACATAGCATAGCGTGTCGTTTTTTTTTTTTATATTTTTATTTTTATGTTTTCCTCTCTTCTCTTGGTTGTATTGTGGTACCTTCACTTGCAGAGTAGGGTTCCTGTTGTTGAATTTCACAAGTTCTATGTCAAACTATTTTAACTTTTATGTCTTAAGGTAGTAACTATGTATCTGGTTGTCTTTAGATTTCATGTCTAACTATGTATCTGGTTCCCTTTACTTTTGTATTTTATTAGAGATATTTTATGTATAATATCAGTATCAATTTGATTACATTCCATGGTCGGACAAGACTGTTTTCCTGTGCGGTCAAAGACAATCTTATGTGTATAACTTTCACAAATAAGAAATTATGGTGAAAAAAAGGACATTCTAGCGGGATGAGTTTTTTGAGTGTTGGTTTATGGTGAATTTTTCATTGAACTTTCCATACCTTGATACATTATGATTTTAACTTTTGTTATTAAAGTTGTGTTATTAGCAAGCTTGCTCACCATTGTATATATTATGAGGAGTACTTACTATTAGTTACTGTGATTATGTTCATTAGAGTCAGGGATTGGATCTAATACATATTGCGTTTTTTGTATGCCCTCATTCTGTAGATCCTTTTGCTGAGGCAAATGCTGATGATTCGGGTGCTGGGACAAAGGAGTATGTGCATATTCGCGTACAGCAGCGAAATGGTAGGAAAAGCCTGACAACTGTTCAGGGATTAAAAAAAGAATTCAGCTATAACAAGATACTTAAAGACGTTAAGAAAGAGTTCTGTTGCAATGGCACAGTTGTTCAGGACCCAGAACTAGGACAGGTCTGTGAGAACATCCTCCTATTAAACAATGATCCCACCCTTGATGCTTCGAATAACATGTGTTTCTTATTGTAGGTTATTCAACTTCAAGGTGATCAACGGAAGAATGTTTCTACCTTCCTAGTCCAGGTAACTATATTCCATCTTTGCTTTGCCGTTTTTCATAATGGTGTTTCGAGGCCTACTTTAAGAATAACAATTTTTAGTGAATAAGCTTCTTGATTGTGCCATTTGCTTGCTATTTTATTGGTTTTCTGAAGGACCCAATAACGGTGTGGTCTTCCTTTTGACAAGTAATTTGGCAGTTAAAAATTAGAGACCATATCCAATATTTTGGAATTATATTTGGTGAATGTGCACCTAGGCTATATTTCCTCTGCTAAAGAGTAGAAGATTTATATATTTTTTATCACGCAAGAAAAAGAAAGCAAAGAGAAAAACAAATAGGAAGCAAAAGTAGTTTTTAATCGAGTAAAACATGGTTGTAGCTTAATTAACTTTATTTTGCACAAATCATAGTTTGGTCTTGCCACAACGATTTGCAATAGAATGCTGATCATACTTGTTCAGTCACATACTGACAAGTATACCTTGATTCATATCTAATTGCTTTAAAAGAAATTTTCATGAAATATTTGGAAACTAGGATTTTCTATCTAATTAAGTTGTTGGTTGTTTTCACTTGTGAATGTGAACAGGCTGGAATCGTGAAGAAGGAGCATATCAAGATTCATGGTTTCTGAGCGGTTGGAGTCTTAAGTGTCAAGTCTTACCCGCCTGACTATGAGTTGGGCTTATAGATATTCTTAGTGGTGTATGTGATTGCGATATTTCTATCGTGTTCTGGTGTTTTACCATGTGATCTGGGATTATGGATTTTAGAACATTGTGTGTTATTTGCTTTAAAGACATATATGAAAACAGTTTAATTGGTAATCTATTCGATCTCATTTCATTTAGCGTGTCCTTGAAATTAAAATAGATAATTTTAATAACTAAAAAAATGTTGTGTAGCTTTGAAGGTTGAATTTTTGTGGCAACATATTTGTACATAATAATACATAGCATATGCTTCTTATTTCCTTCCTAGTTTAATGTAAGATGATGACTAGTGAATTGTGAGCACATGTTTTGGTCATACCCAAGCTGAGGTGTCATGAAGTTTCTTAGAATATGCCTTTTGCTGTTAGGCAATTGTTACCAACTCAGATATCATTAGAGCTTGGTGGCCAAGAAAATCATTACTTCATGATTGAGTAAAATTCTATCTTTCTAATTATTCAATGCAAATACATATTAATATATAATATTCATATCAATGTGTTAATTTTTCGGACGATTATGTTCGGAGGATCCAGCATTTTTCAATACATATTTCTTCACCTTACAACGGAAGCATTCTGTCGGAATATCTCTGATTTGAGCTAGGATTATTCTCTGTAATCTGCCTGAATATCAAAATGGTTTCAATTTTTATTTCTTAGGGTAATTATAGAAAGGACAAATTTTAGGTGTAATTTTTCAAGGTTGGTATTGTTTTTTAATTAAAATTAAAGTCTTATTTTAATAATGTGTAAATGTAAGAGTATATCTTAAATCTTAAATAATTTGATATATTATCAAGTAAAATTGTAATTTTAATCGCTGAATAACATTAATCGAATTTAACTGTGTATATATTCTGTCTATAAACTGAGTGGAAGTTACTTATTCAATTTGCTCTTGCCTGGGGGTGAGCAACGGGTGGGTTTGGTCGGGTTCGGGTGAAAAATGTCCAACCCGTTGTAAATCGACTTTGAAAAAATGTGACCCATATCCGACCGACTGAGCTTTCGATTTGAGGCGGTTCGGGTTGAAACGGATTCGGATTTAAGCGGGTGGGTATAATCGGGTTTGAATTTTTTTGTAGACCAATTTATCTTAACGAAAGTGAAGCTTAAAACGATAAAAAATATTTTTAAAATAGTGTATAAAAATAGAATGAAGGTGAAAATAAATGGTGTAAATAGATTCGTAGTTGAAACATTTACAAACTAAAGAAGCAAAAATAAAAGATAACAAAATTCATAGTTGTTACATGGAAAAGAAATATAAAGTTAGATTACAAAACCATAAGAAATCACAGTCACACAAAATGTACTCAAAATGGAGATAAGAAGATGGAAAAGAAAGACAAAGAAAGAAGCAAAAAGATAACTCTAAAAATGGACTAGTGTGTTGAGAAGTTGAATGAGGAAGGAGAAGACAAAATAAATATCTAAGTTATGAGAAAAAGGAAAAAAATGAGTTACAAATTGATGGCTATATTATAGTTGAAATAAAGACTTTTAAATTTGAACCATTGTTGTTTAGTTATACAAAAATAATAAAAATTTAAACTTATCTCATTTTCGGTTGGGTTCGGTTTTTAGCGGGTTTAAAAATTCAAAACCGAACCCGCTCAATATAACCCTTATAAAATCAAAATTTTAACCCGATTTACCCATAAAACCCGCCCGAACCCATCCAAAAACAATATTTTTCTTCATATTTTTCGGGTTCGGTTCGGGTGTCGATTTAATGCTCACCCCTACTCTTGCCTTTCGATCATTATGATTGGGAAATTTATGACTTTATGCCCTGGCATCCCAAAAAAGATGACAAGAAAGGTTGACAGAACCTACCGAATTTATTTAGAAACCTTATCGGATAATTTTTTCAAAAAATAGAAAAATAAGAAAAATGAAAATGAGATTTTCTATAAGTTAAAACTAGTTTATCTTTAAGCTAAAAATAAAATTTTGAAAAAGTTAATTGATGAGAATTTTTACAAATTATTATGCACAGATTAATTTTAACTTAAAAAAAATTAATTATTTATTCATTTTTTATTTTCCTCATCGAAAAGTTTAGAAAAATATTTGGTTTGTTCCAACTTGGAGATCTTTTGATTTAACCATAAAATTTTGCCATTAGTAGGTCCACCTTATTCACATCAAATTTGTCCATGGTTAATCCTCCACAATGAGCTTTCTCTTTTGCATCCCCATTTTTATGCTATAGTTTGAGGCCTTTTAAAATCATGTTGTGGGCATGCTTATTTACAGTCTTATAGTGGTTTCATACTTGTACATCGTTTCACTCTTTCTCTTTGAATATTGGTGATATGTTTCCTTTGCACCTTCGTTTTGGAGGGTCTGTAGGAGTTCTCCATTAAGGTTTGTTCTCACATAGTGTTTTTCTCAAGTACGGTCTTCCTTCAAGCTTTGTGAGATTTGAAATGTCCCTTTTAAGTAAATCTCCAAGAACCCTCCGATAGAAGTGCACCAAATTGATTTTGCTTTAACATATTAAAATATAATTTTTTTTTTTTATCTCTACTTATAAAAGTGGTAAAAGATGGAATTTGAAGATCTGAAAAAATCGAATTGAATTGGATTAGCAAATTAATTTAAATTTAAAAATTGGAAATTCAACTAGTTTAGTTTGGATATCAATCTTGATTTATAGAAATCAAAATAAACTGATTAACTCGTTTAATTTAATATTTATTATTATTATTATTATTAATTATTTATTATAATTATTATCGTATTTATTTTAGGTTATGAAATTTGGCTACTAATTAAAGATAAAGAAGTGAAGGGATTGTAGTCCATTCAACCAAATGTTTTTGTTTGAAAGTGACTCATTCATTTAGTATCAACCGACAAAAAGAAAACTCAAGTTTTTTTTGTTTGCTTTATTGCAAGTTTTGTCATTTGTGAAAGTTGAGAGCAAATTACACATTAAGGTTTTGTGGTGTTGGTTGTAATATTATGGATATGTTGTTGAATTTGTAATATTAAAGATGACATACGATAGATTTGTAGATTTTAGTGTTAAATAAATTTAAGTTATAACTTAATGATGTTTGTTACTTTTTAAGTTTGTAATTATTATGTTTTAAGGAGTACTTTAAAATGTTTATAAGCAAGTTTATAATAATAAATGTTTTAAAAGTTGATAACATAAAAATATAATTTACAAGTTGTCTAATGTGATTTTAGTTTTTATTTTTAAAATTTTTTTATTTTACAGATAGATCCAATGAAATGATTCAATCTAAACTAAACATAATTTAATTGAGTTGGTTCAGATTGGAAATCAAGAATAAACATTGTGGATGTGATATTATAATAGGGGACCAAAAATGAAATTTAATCTAAAAAATTAATTAGGATAAAAAAAATTGTTTAATTTATCAAATTATAATAAATTGTAAAGTCAACAAATGTAGTTCCCAACATTGGTATAAAAAGGTTATGTTCAATTAAATTTACTAAATTTTTGTTAATATTTTTTTCTTAAAGAGTGAAATCTACTTTCATGATTTAAATCTTAAGTTCCTTCCTTATAGGTTTCAACCTTTGAGTTCCTCTCTAAGTTCTATTCTTTTGATGTTTAAAATGAGTTTAGTGTGACGAAAATGAAAGAGAGGTGAAAAGAAAATAGTAGAAGTGGAAGTTATACCTATATTTAGTTTAGTAAAATTATGGGAAAATGTGGGTGAGAATGTGTCCATTTATTCTTCATAAAATTGAACATAATTACATGGAAATAAATAGTATTTTAGCCCCTTAATGATTACCTATTTCTCTAACATAAACAAAATTGATTAACTAATTTATTATTATTATTAAATTAAATAATCTATTAGAAAATTAACTTTCACTTAATTATCTTTAACCAAACAAATTTTATTTTTCCTTTATTTCTTAATTATTTTTATTATCTTCACCTATTTTCTCTATTTTCCCCTCTTTATTTCCTTCCTTGGTGTCAAACATAAGCTTAAAGATTATAAAAAATGGAAGGTCCTCTTGTCACACAAAAAATCCGATTAAGAATCAAGAAGTAAAACTAAAAGAATAAGATAAGTCAATTAGCATTAAAATTTATTAAGTGCTAGCCCTAATCCTAAAACAAAATGGCTACTCACATCAGAGTCATTAAAAAAAACATAAAATATCAAAATGCAAAGGAGAAGGGGAGAATCCCTGTGCCATTCCCTAAGCATTTAAGTAGCTAATTTCAAAATACATTTAGAAAAACTTCAAAAGTTTATTTAAATAATGGGCTAAAAAGGTCTGAGCGTCATACACTTAAATACAAAATAAATCATAAATTGTTTATAGAACTCATAACACACCTCTATGAATCATCCCTCATGACCACTAACCCCTGAAACCTAAATCATGGAGTGGAACACTAGAGAGATTCACAATCATGAGCAAATTCTCACAATTGTAAACTTCATTGCCTTCATAAACATAAACAATGGTGGAGAAAAAAAGGGTTAACAGGCATAAGCAGATTTTCACAATTGTGAACCACATTAAGGCTTTAGAATCTTCTCAAAAACTAACTTTTTTGACTTTGTATTGTCTCAATGCTTGCTTTTAGGTCAATGCTTCCAATGCTTTAAAGAAAGACTTTAGTGTTTTATCCTTTAACAAAAATGGCCACCTAAAACATAAATACCACACAAGGTATAACGAATTTTAAAAGGTGAAAAAACAACAAAAAAAATATGAAATCCATATTAGATACAAATAAATAATGCAACTTTTCTAACTAAAATATAATGCAAAAGTGGTATAAGATGTAACAAATCTAACAATGTGGTTGAACCTCCTTGATCTAGTCATGTTTGAATTGTACCCTCAACTTACAAAGATTATGCAACTCCTATAAAAAGATCCCCTAGGTTACTAGGGTGGAGTGAGATTTCAAAGTATTTATAAAGGAAAGTTTAGGCAACTCTGGAAGAGTTGTGAGTAAAAGGTTAAAAGCCCCCTGGTCAAATAGTGAGAACTATCACTTCTCGTCCATGTGATAAAGATATCATTCTTTGAAAGAGAAAAAGTTAGAAGGAATTGTTTTGATAGTAAGAGGTCGAGTAAAAGGGATGCCTCTTGATGGATAAAACTCAACCAAA